ATCTCGAGATCCACAAAAGCTACAAGGCTGAAAATTTGATGACTTAATATACACATACGTGCGGGCTCGTATCTTCAAAATGGGCGCTCAGGTCGGCGTGGTTCTCACGTAGGGGCACGTGAAAGTTTTTTTGGCGGGAGAGCGTTTTCAGAAACGGCTCATTTTAAGAGGCTGAAACTTCACAGAGATGTTCCTTGGCCGCGTCTAATCCAAAGATTTCAAATTCAGCCTTCACGCACCCCAGATCTCACGTACACACACGTCAATGTTTAAAATGGCATCATGCCAACTCCAAATTTAAGCTGATCAATAAGCTACAGAGAGGTGCAATCTTGCAGCTTTACTTGTCGCCTGCTGTTGTGCTCGTGAAAGTAAATTACTTGTCAGCTCTTCTGCATCTCACGTACGAACACGTGAAAATTTCACGCATGTGTTTTTGTAACTTGAGAATTGAAGCAGCCAGAGGAATGGAACCTTCTGAGCATAACCAACGGTGTCCTTTGACCAGATGGACGCAAAAACGATTTACACATCTCTTCACGTCTCGCATATGTATACGTGAAATTTGACGTAACTCCACAATCAGAGCAGCTGGAATGCTGAAACTTTCTGAGTGTTACCCAGGACCGTGTTTGAGCAGTCGCAGGGGAAGAAAGCATTGACCTTTCTACTCACGTACGAATATGTGAAATTTTAACGTAACTCTACAATTAGATCAGCTGGAGCGCTAAAACGTTTTGGGCGTGGTGCAGGACCGTGTTTGAGCGAGCGCACGCTAAAACAACATTCATGTCTTTTCTCAAACGTAGGGGCGTGTGAAGTTTGATGCAACTACGCAGCCACAGTAACTGGATTGCTGAAATTTCCTGTGCCTGGCTCAAGACTGTATTTGGGCAGGCACACGCAAGGACAACGCTATTTTCCATTTCACATACGTCCGCGTGGAATTTACGCAATCCTGCAACCAAGACAGCCACAGTGTTCAAATTTCCTGAACATGGCCTTCGGCCGTGCTTAGGCATTGGCGCGCAATAAAACTGTTCATGTTTCCCCCTCACGTACAAAGACGTGGATTCTGACGTAATTCCACAACCAGAACAGCCACGGTATCAAAATTTTCACAGCATTTCTCAGGACCGCCTTTGAGCTGGTGTACATAAAAACAGTCTCAAGTTTTCGCCCACGCCCACGTAAAATTAACGCAACTCGGCAACTAAGGCAGCCAGAGCGCTGAAATTTTCTGAGCATGACCCTTGACTATGTTTGAGCAAGTGCTTGCGAAAACAAGTTGAACACTTCCTGCGCGTCACGCGCATAGTCACCTGGAAGTCTAATGCTGTCAACATTTCATCATTTGCTTGCTTTATCTACAAAAAAACCTTTACCATACGTTTCTGCTATCATTCACTGTTAATATTGTAAATTTCTTGCTCCAACAGTGACTTCTGAAATCCTGCCGCAGAAGAAGAGACATACTGCTTGAGCAGATCGACAACTGCAGCCGGATCGAAAGCTAAAACTGCTTAAACGGTATCCGTCTGCCACAGTGTTCTCCTCGTTAGATTACGTAAGTGAGAATAACATCCTATGACTTATTTAAAACTATGAATTCTCTAATTCTCATCTCCTCTCATTGCCTCCCAAGGCTGTAAAATTTAAATTCCCTAAGATTAAGGCATCGTAAACCTCTTCCTTACCCTTCGTCACTAATCATCTAAGGACCCAGTTCTAAAACTCCAGCTCGTACTTTTTTCTTTCTTTTACTTTCTTTCTTGCTGGTACTTTCATTGCTTTTATTTCCTTTCTTGCTGGTACTCCCCCCTCGAACTTCTACACTCTCTGCAGTATATCCCCCTCCCGAGCACTTTCCATACCCTACGTATTTGCGGCAAAATCAGCACACGGATCCTTCTCCCACCCGCCCATCAACTCTTCTCCCCTACGTGGCCACGCCACGTTCCCACTCAACTCACCCAGGCATCACTTCCCCAGTGCCTCCGATCCCGCAGCCACCATTCTCACACAGCAACCCCCCTCCCCCACCCGTCCCTGTACCTCTCCCTATCTTTACTCCCCCCTCCCCTCGCCTCCTCACATCCCGCTCTTTCCCACCCGTCCTCACTCCTCCTACCTCCACCCGTCCCCCTTGTCCCCCCTACCTTTCTCCTGTTCCCCCTTCCCCTCCCCCCTTCCCTGTCCACCCTGTCCCCGTCCTGCTCCCTCAATACAATGCTCATAAACCGGCTACTCGTGCCGCTGCCGGGGTTGGCCGAGGCGGCCAAGGTGAAGCCGAGGTGGAGCCGAGGCAGGCCAAGGTGAAGCCGAGGCGGCCGAGGGTTAGCCAAGCCGAGCCGAGCTGAGCTGAGCTTTAGAAATTACCGTGTAAAGCAATAACCATCTATGCAGTTAATGAGCTGGGTACTTCAAGTCTGGTGCAAAAACGCATGGCCGCACCGACAAGCCTGGCGCGTTCCAGCCTGGGTTGCAAACATGCAAATGCAAAAATGCATATTGTGACGACTCATATAGTGTGTGTGTGTGTATGTGCGTGTGTGTGTGTGTGTGTGTGTGTGTGTGCTTTGATCCGAGTATTTCAGCTTGACAACCAGGCAAGCTCCAGCGTCAAAATTTTGTCAATGATTCCCCGGCAACGTGCTACCCCGGTCCGCGACACGAACCTTTATGCAAGTCTGGGCTTTGCGTGCGAGCGCGTGAAAGTTTTGGCGAGAAAACAGCTAACTTGGGGGCCAGGAAATCTTCGCTGTATCTGCAACTCCTCCAATCTCTTCCGAGGTCATTTCCAAATTATAACGTTTGTTTGCTGTAGTGCAGTTTCTGTGATTAATTTTACTTGAGCAAAAAGGCCTCAGCATAATTGAGTTCGAAGGTTTCCTATTATGATGTGTATCTAATAGAATTTTGCACGTCACGTTGAAATACACTGTTCCACTGTATTTTGAACAATAGTCAATTAACTAATATTTTCTGGAAACGAATGATTTGTTGCTTAGTACATTCCATTAAGAAAATGAACGATGGTATGAAGAATTTTGTATAGTGGTAATGCATAAATCTGGATCGGACAAATCGAAGAAAGTGGGACAGTTTTGATTTTGCCTCTCCTAACGCTGGTACTTCAACAAAAATGTTTAGATTTAGTTTTTATGAGTTTTTGCATATTGTGTAAAGTGGAAATGCATATTGCCGAGAAGTCGTCTGTGGGTGTGTGTCTACTCGGTGACGAGTAACCTTTGCAACCCACTTTCAACTCAGTAACCAAAGAAACTTCTGGAACACGTGCCCATCCCATGCGCGATCCTCTCGTTTTGAATTTACTTTTCAAGTTCGCATGGACACTTAAAAAAATGTGAATTTTCTGCTGGGGAAGTGATTTCGGAAATAAAACAAGATAGGAATTTGAAATTTCGTAGGGATGTTCTATGTCCTTATGTGAGCTAAAGTTTCGATTTCATCTTTAATGTACATCTATGTCGCATGTACGGACACGTCAAATCTGGGGATGGAGCATCGTTGACAAAAGCCAAGTCAGGAACTAAGCTATTTGGAGCGCTCTAACCTTACAATAATATTTATTTTCTACAGGTAAGCATGTAGGTGTAAAACAAGCTTTGGCGTTTGCCTGTACTGCGTACTGGAACGCGTTGAAGATATTTGTAATAAAAAGCGGTTTTGCCAACTAGTTATTTTGCGGAGCTGAAGCTTCAAGAGAATTTTCTGCACAAGTGCATGTCCTAGATATCACAAATTCAGTTTTTATACACATCTGTTTGCTTACTGTAGAAAACCGTTGACGCAAATTAACTCGCTGACCACAGTGGGTAAGAAGCAATACATTTACTATTCATGTGCGGACCACAAATGTGAGACGAACTACTGCCTAGATACGAATCCTGCGTAAAGTACATCAAATTTTCGAACAATAACAGCTCAGTCACGCTCCTGTAGCGCAGGCGATCTCTCGACAAACAGAATCATGCAAAAATGCATGGCCACATCAGCAAGCCTGGTTCTTCACTATCGGCAGATAAAAAAAAAATGGGACCATGCCTAATTGCTTCTTTGTGAAGGCACTTGCTTGTGTGTGCCTAATTTGGCCCCAGAACTAGAAAAGTAAGAAAGTCAGACTTTTGGCAATGCAGTTCCCAGTCCTGTACGGGGCTAAAATCTTGAAATCAATTCACATCCCTTTTTCACAATGTATCATCACCATTTATTTTGTGCCAAAATTCTTCTCAGTTTTGTAATCATGAGTTAAAATTCACAAATTGGAACTTTTGAGTCAGCAGTTTCTAAATAACCGAAGATAGATTGCCAGAAATTGGGCTTCAAGCTCTGCTACACGACTTTCGGTTAAAGTTGGAGTTCAAAATGATACAGTCCATGAGCTTAGAAATTTTCTTTTCAGTTTGACCAAGTGAAGGGAGATGAATACCGCAAAAAATAGCATTTTGAGTTCTACAATTCTCTGGTCTACGTTTGCATGTACAAATACTAGCGATCATCCTGACTTACAGAAAGAGCGACCGAATTTTGAAATTTTGACGCTTTTGATGCGCTGATTTGATAAGAAGCAAATCATCACAAATGTCTGTATGAGTAAGCACAAGTTTGGTGCCTGCCTGGTACAAAACCATAACTGCGCCAGTCCCTTTGTGCGCGTCGTTACTCATTATGAAGCTAAAATCAGACATGGAATAATTCGAAGCCTATTATAAAATTTCAAAGCCCCGAATTTTTTGACGAAAATTTGATGCCTTTGCAACACTCACTTGTCCCACTTTTGGACGAGCATTGACTGGTAACAACAAAGGAGGCTCAGTGAGGTGCCGAGCAAGGATCTGAATTGATATCAGCTTGGCGCTGTTATTTTGCAAGTCTAGTACGTATCTGTAGAAGGACAGCTGCTAGACTTGTTACTGCCCCATACACTTTCTTCCTGCTGCCTTATTTCCACTTTTGATGATTTCTGTCATTTTCAGAACCACTTTTTAAGGATTCTGTAAGTCATGTTCAGCAACAAATGCGAGTGCAAAATATAACATCCAGGCAAGTAGTTACAACTGTAAGAATCAAAAGAAGACAGTGGAAGGAAATGCTGGCAGTTTCTGTGGACATATTGGCCAATTCTCGCCCTGTCTTGGCTGCGATCATCTTTTCCTGTTTCTTCGCCGCGAGAAATATTCGTTAAAAAACATTTTCGACTGCTTGATCCATGAGTTCCATTATTTAGTTATTCAGTAATTAAAATCCTCCACTTTCCCCATTTGCTTTTAGAAAATCGGTAGCACTGATGTATTGTTTTCTGTCACTGATATAATCAGTTTTGATTTTTCTAACATTACTTGCAGATCGCGCTGCGCTTTGAATCTTAAATATTTTATTACACTGTTCATTGAGATCTGTAGTATAAGATTTTGTTTTTATATCAGTGTTCAGCACTGATTGTTTTATGAGAAAAATAAATTTATTTCCGGTTGCCTAAAGTATCACTACTTTCTCATGTATTCTTACTCGCAGATGTCCCAGAAGCTTGCTATTCGCCCAGTCAAGTAGCCCTGAAAGCTCAAATCCTTGATCCTTCTCATCTGCACTCACACACTTAAATCACTTTTCCGCTTTTCCATCAATCTTCTGTGCCTGTGTGATTTTTTATGAAATTGAGTTATCACATTTTTGCTTACCTAACAACTGTTACTAAAACTTAATTCACTTGAAGCGCAAAACAGTTCTGCTGCTCAAGAAATATACGAAATTTACTGACGGATTTTATAAGCAGTATCCTGGGTTCATGTCGGAAGCGCCTAATAAATCGGCCAAATAAATAACACAGAGCTGAAAGCAACAATGCGTTTCGCCGTCAGCTAAATGGACGGTTACTGACTAAATGGATCAGATGATGCATACACATTTACACTGTAGCATGATGATCTTCTGAACATCCATAACTAATAGAAACCATTTTGTGCTGTGCAACAGCTGCACAAAACGTATATTGTCACGCGGTTATCTGTGTGCGTTTGCGTGTATGTATGCGTGCATGTGTGTGTGTCTCCGATGCATCTTGCCTGCAACTTTCAGCTGGGGAACCATAAAAGCTAGAAAGCTGAGAATTTAGGGTAATGCTCCCCGCCTATGTATGACCCAGAAATTTAAATTCAGCGTTCCCGAGCTCTCGGGTATCATCTACAGCCCAGTGAAAATTTTGTCAGGTAAATTATTATCTCGGGAGCCATGAAGACTAGGAAGCTGAAATTTTACGCTAATGTCTCCTACCCACATGCAATTCCGCAAATTTAAATTCAGACTCCTCGTGCCCGTAAGTAACACACAGGGCCCCGTGAAGGTCCTAGCAGGGAAAATTATTATCTTGAGAACCAAGAAAGTTATGAAGCTGAAATTTTAGGACGATATTTACTGTTTAAGCAAGGGCTTTACAAACTAAAACTTAGTTCTCAAGCATGCCGATGTCTCACGTATAACCACTTGGTAGTTTTGTTGCAAAAATCATTCGAAAGCCAAAAAATTAGGAGATTGAAGTTTTGGAAGGGCATTCACCCTCCAAGGTTTCAAATTCATCTTTTACCAACCAGTACGTAAAATAGTGGAAAATTTCGAAACTTAGGAACCAGACAACATTTTAACTATTTTTGCGCAAAACAAAGTACAAAGTAGTAAAAACTCTTGGCAGGCGAACGTTCGCTGGGCAGAACTGCGCAAAACGCATGTTCACACCGGCTGCTCTGGTGTGCGCTACTATTTGGTTTATTTTGTTTTCGAGTTATAACAGCAGCACAAACTTGAGCCTGGACTGATAGATTATCGTGCTGGGTGCCGAGGATGTCGAAAACTGACTTAAAAACACTCATCATGCGTTTTTGCTGTGCAGCGCTATAGCGCTGCTACAGCGAGCAAAAACGCGTATTGCGACGATCCCTAGTGTGCGTGTGTGTGTGTGTGTGTGTGTGTGTGTGTATTTATGTGTGTGCCTGTTTGGGTATTTCAACTCGACAACCACGCAAGCCCGGCAGCCAAAATTTTGCCAGCTGGTTCTCTGGCCAAGTGCCACCCCAGAGCCGTGATACCAACCTTCACGCACGTCTGGGCTCTGAATACGGTCACGTGAAAGTTTAGCGAAAAAGTGATTAACCAGGAAACAAGAAAAGCTGGGAGGCTGAAATTTTCAGAGAATGTTCCCGACTAACATACAACTTAAAGATTTCAAATTCAACCATACGCTGCATGAGTTACTCAAGTACAGCTCCGTGAAAGTTTTTGGGGGAAAAATCGATGGCTCGGGAACTAAAAAAGCTGGGAGACTGAAATTTTGAAGGTATATTCCCACTGCATTTAGAACTGAAAAATTTAAAATTCAATCCCCAAACATGCGTGGTTCCCAATTACAACCCCGTGAAAATTTTTGGCAGGAAAATTCACTAATTCGCGAACCGGAAAAACAAGGCGGCTAAAATTTAAATTCTAGCTATTGTGGTTCCTAGAGATTTTCCAACAGCACGAGATGCTGCAAAAACGCATGATCGCACGGGTCCGCTCGGTGCGCATCGCCAATGATTTATATGTGTTTTTTCTGTGCAGCGCTATAGCGCTGCTACAGTGAGCAAAAACGTATACTGCCGAGAGGTTTTCAGTGTGTGTGTGCGTGTGTGTGTGCGTGTGTGTGTGTGTTTGTGTGTGTGTGTTCGGAAGCGAGTGGACCTTGTCACTCACTTTCAGATCAGCAGCTAGAAAAGCTGGAAGGCTGAAATTTTGGGGGCGTACTAGCACCCAGCGTGTAACTTCCCATTTTAAAGTCTTCGCTCATGCGCGCCTAGATCTCGCTTGCGGACCCCCAAAAAATATGCATTTTTATTTGGCTGGAAACGATTTTGGGAACCAGAAAAGATAGAAAGTTGAAACTTGCAGGGATATTCTATGTACTTGTGCAAGCTAAAAACTGCAAATCCTGTCACTGTGCATGCTTTTACCGCGCGTACGGTCACGTCAAAGTTGCCAGTTGGCACTATGCTAGTTCGAAAACTAGTCCGAAGACAGCTGTGGAAATTTTTTCAGAATATTTATCGTCCATATAGGTAATCGTACGTCTAAACTAAGTACTGATCTGCGCCTGCGCCAAGACTGAGGGCACTTCACAGATATGTGCAGCGAAGTGGCTATTTTATGTTCCGGATAAGGTGCGAGGCTGAAACATTGCTGGGATATTTTACTTTCATGTGTGGTCTTAATTCTGGTTGGAGATGAAATTCCCTGCAGGTGGTATGAGAAATACTCAACTTCACGGCAAACTCAAAAGCGAGCGCGTTTATCAGATTCCATGTTCCTTTTTTGATTTCCTTCAAATTTGCGTTTTTTCAATGAACGAGCATTTATCGGGGGAATGATCGGACGTCATGTGAATCATTGGCGATGCGCACCAGGCGGGCCCTTGTGATCATGCGTTTTTGCAGTATTTCGTGCTGTAGTAAGACCGCTTGGAATCACAATGGCCGGAATTTGTGACGTGCTGGCCTTCGAACCACAGGTGGATCAAGAGTGGGAGGTGGGGCGATGGGTCGTTGGTCCCATTTCCAGGGGTACAGGTACCGGTGCTACAAAAATCCGGGTCTAAAACTAAAACTAAGGTGAACTCTCCTTCCTACTTCCCATCGCCTCCCCCTCCCCAGAAGCTCCACTCCGCACCTTCTCGTCGATTCGGCAGGCGCCCGCGCCCCTCCTCTTTCCCATGAGTCCGTCCTAGATCCACTCATGCCTCGAACTTCGAGAAGTTAATTGTGCAGCTCCCATGCCATATTTAGAAAGGGGGCATTCATTTAAAAATTCAGCTCTCCTGGTTTTTCCCCGTCAAAAATTTTTGCGGAGCCACGCGTGAGATCCACGTACGCGTGGGGCCTGAATCTGAAATCTTTGAGTTCTACGTTGAGGGGGAACATTCCCTCAAAATTTCAGCCGTCTTGGTTCCCGGCCTAGCGATTTCCCCGCCAAAAACTTTCCAGGGGCTACACGTGAGAACCACGCACACCCGGAAACTGAATTTGATGCCTTCAACTTCTAAGAGGGCTGGAAACAGCCCCTCTTTTTCTGGTCCCCGAGTTAGCGGTCCTTCCCGCCAAAAATTTTCACGGGTTGTATGTGAGAATCACTCAGTCCTGGAGGCTGAATTTAAATTCTTTAAGCTGTACACGGCTGGAAATATCTTCGTAAAATTTCAGCACCTTCCAAGTTAGCTACTTCAGACCAAAAATTTTGATGAGGTCATTCGCGAGGACCACGCACTTCTAAAGCCTCGAATTGTTCTTTTAAAGTTATACTTGGGCTGTGGACATCTCAAAATCTCAGCCACCCAGCTTCCCTAGTCCTCGAGCTGGCGATTTTTCCGCCAAAAAATTCCACGAGGCCGTACTCGAGAACAATGCACACCCGGAGACTGAATTTTGAATCTTTGAGTTTCTATATGGACGGGGGACATAACTTCGAAATTTCAGCTTTCTAGTTTTTCCGGAAAAATTTTCATGTGCTCGTATGGGGGGGGGGGGGGG